TCTTTCGTGAAGCCATTTTTTCTCATTTGCGAAAACTTTTTTCAAAGTTTCAGCACAAAATTTTCGTCATCATTTTACGTGATATCATTTTCTTAGGAAAGTTCCTATTGTCTTTCAGTCAATCATGATCTAGAATTTCGATGTGTAATTTGCACTAGTGTTACACTTTTTGCACTGATGTTACACTTTTTGCATTGGTATTACACTTGAACTGCACTGCTCTTAGCCAATCAGAATCGAGTAATTTTTTCATGTGTATTATTACAAAGGTAACAGGTCTATTGAAATACACTTTAGTAAGAAAGATAAGTCTGAATTGAAGTATCAAGAGACAATAACAACACATACTGCTCTGTAAACACGACCAGCTTGTTAGTGGACGCCTCACTGCGTGAAGTGACTGCCACCAGATATTTCTCGTCTGCTTTGCATCTTGAGTCCTTCAAACCCCTTGAAACCAACAAAAGCTAACCTCAGGTTTGGGTTTAATTCTGTACTATAGATGCTTTGGTTTATTCAATCCATGTTACATTTAAGATCATGTGAAGCAAATGCCTCACTGGGCTTTTGTTTGGACCAGACTTAAGTGGCCGTACTGTGTACTCATACCACCATACCTTCTAAACAATGCCGCGGATGATCTTAACAAGACTGCACCACTATCAACATGTCTCCAACAAACTGCGGGTACACATCCTTCTCTGAAAAAGAATAGATCAGAATACTGAAGAATATTAAAATACATATTGATTGATTGTAACGTTTTTTTTACGATGTTTTTTAACGGTCTGTTATAACGGTTTATTGCGTCTTGCGCGGCCATATTGTTGATGTGCATTTTAGTAGGCTTCGGTGTATATGGGAACTACTGATGAGTGGGCTAACTTCGTGTTGACCTACGAAACAGAGCTGTATTAAACTCCATATGCGATCAAGATCCGAGTAGTCTCTCAGAAAATTCCGTTGTATTTTTATAGTTATATTTAAAAGTTACTATATAAGAGCAGGTCAGAATGTCATAATGCGTTATGCGAGTTCTTCAAAATGATGAATTACGTCATTGTGATTTGCTGAGAGCAGGCCACTTTGTCGTTAATTTTCGATTTGCACTACACACAAATTAACGGCAGAGCTTTCGAAATTTTCCAAGTCATATAATCAATGAGAAATGGGGTGAAAGCTTGAGCAATTAAGAATTTACACTACTCGTGATATTTGAAAATTCTTTCAAATTGCAGTCGGCTGAGGTCTTGGGCAGTTTTGAGATACTGTAATTTTAAAATATCACTGGTGGTGTAAGTCCTTAGAAGTCGGGAAGATGTCTGAAAAAATCTAAAGTAATTTTTCAAGTTTTTTATTAGGAGCACATTTACTTTATCTCAAATTTTGAACACTAACCACTAGATCTTAACACAACCTGTATAAATTTCAAAATTTAGATTCTTACAACCTCAAAAGATTAATTTAAGTCTTCATCTGGTATGGAGTTAAAATAAGGATCACAGTGGAGTCTTGAGAAAAAGAACATGCAATTATATCAGAAATAAGTGCACTTACATGAACTTGAATATTGCAGCCATTAACAGTTTTGATGGCAGAAAAGAAGGCTGTGCATATTGGGTGGGAATTGTAAAAACCCTCGTTATTCTTTTGATTTCCATTGTTACATTTCTTGCCTTCGTTTTTCTCTCGACATTAATGAATTTTACTCACTCATTTCCAAGTTGTAATTCAACAACAATTTTCAAATACTCTTTCTGTAATCAAAACTGATGATGGATGCAGGTCATCCGAAAACTTTTATTTTAAAATTGTTTGTATCTACTTGAAGATCATCTCTTGTTTGCTATTACGTACTTTAAAGGCTGAACTTGCACTTGGATTGGATAACCCAAATCAAATACATGTCCCATAACTTGCCGACACTTAAATTGCTCTCAACATTGTCAACGGAGGCATTATGAATAATACGACTATCAGTTGAGTAAGGCGTGACGAAAGTTTGGTGACGAAATCTTAGCCTTAAAATAACGGTGTTGTTACGGGAAACTTATTTTGTTTCCATTGGTAACAATATCAACAGCCTTGCGTCGCCTGTCGCGTCCCCTACAATTTCGCGCGCTTTGCTGCCAATGACGTCATAGCAGACAAGTTGCCACTGGAAAAGGAGCCAGTTGCCCATGGCAACAACACGATTTTCACCTTAAAACATGGTGACCAAACTTTCGTCGCGCCTTACACAACTGATAATCATAGTGCAATACAAGGGCCAACACACCAGTTCGACTCAGGGTACAATGTAAAATCATGTTACCGTTCTTCCCAAACTACTCACTGCAAGTTTTCCAGTTTCCTGAGTAAAATAACGTCAGTCTGTCACACTCCACTACAAGTAAGCAAAACATAACCATGCCATTAGAATTTCTGGTTAATTAGTAAATGTAACAGAATCGATGAAATGGGGTGGGACCTAAAACAGAGCCAGAAAGGGGGGGGGGGCAGTGGGGTTAGGTCATTACAAGAGGGGGTTTGAAATCTTGAGAAAGAGTTTCTTATTTGGATGGGATATTGCACAATATCAACAAAGAAATTTATTCTTACTTAGAAATTATTGCCTAATAGATAGAGTGCTTATTGTTGAAGATATGAAGTCTTATTTTCTAGTATTTAACGTTATCATAGCAAGTGGTTTTCTACAATCAGAAAAATTGTGAGACATGCTTACAATCAAATTTGTAGAAGTTTGGTGCATCTTTTCTGTCCAAAATGGTGCATGACTTAGGCAGCAGGATAGCACTTTTGTGAATAAAGGCAAATAACTTAGAAAACTCCTGCAAAAAGAAAATTCAACATTTGTTTGTATGAAATCACAGAAACGTTGGGTTTCTCACAGCACCATCCCTTGATGTTTACAGCCCTATTAATTAAGAAATAGAAAACATGTTAGTACCATGTTTCTGTCACGTTAGGGAAACATGAGTGGACGTCTGGAAGAATGAGAAATGCTGTGGGAATACAAGCCAACAGGCGAGTGTTTCCACAGCTTTTTTGAGCCCTCCCAAACTTCCACGAGTGTTTCTAGAACTGGACAGAAACACGGAGAACATGTATTCTATTTCTTTTAGAAAATACTACAATGAAAAAAACAAAACACCTTGTTTACTTTGATCAACAAATGTAAATTCTCTTTGCTAGCGCCATCATTACAACAACAGCTCATGCTAGTTCTGTGTTTCTATTGAGTTATAGAAACATGACTTAAAACATATCAGCACGTGTATTTTCTTTGGGCTATTTTCTAAATTAAATTAAGGTTGAAATGATTTTTGAAGACATCATGAAAGAAAACGTATTGTACATGTAAATCACTTCAGTTCAAGTGATATCTTAACATAAATGTGCTTTGAAAAACACAATAAGATACAAGGTGAACCAGACTAACTCTCAGATCTGAGGGAAGTAACCAGGGTGGGTAACCATTATCTGGTTTCTCACCCTGGTTAGCTTTTCACTTTTCATACATTTTTTTGCCAAACGGGACAAAATGTTTATGCCTCTATAAAAGAAATTAAATTTGAGTCCACATTCAATACTGAAAGTCGGAATAAAATTATTTAACACCTGATTTCTGTAATTTTACACATATAAGGCAGAAATCAAATCATTTTTATGAATGCCACTTGACATCACAATAATTCCTGAAATAGTTCATTAGCCAGGTTATTTAACTCAAATATAAAGGCAGTGCTGCTGCGGTATAGTCATAGATCAGAATGCTGATAAATAAAAAGGGAATAATGAAGAACATTAGGGTGTTCATTCATAAATGCCTTCAAATTATCCTGTGTATAACATGGCCATGGAGGTTGTAAGATCCTGAAGTCAGGAACATGTGTGAACATGATGACATCAGGATTGAATTGACAAGAAGGAACTGCTGATAGGTTGGGGATATATGGATTGATTGACTGGTATTCTAGTGAGATGACTTACTGTTTTTGAACTTTGAAGAATGATTTTCATAACTGATTCAGCGTCAAGTGTGCTCTGAAGACCAAGGCAGAACTAAAAGACACAAAAATTGCAAATGGCAAACTAGATCATAAAATACATGTATGATATGATGTGATCATTACTCAGAAATGATGTCTCAACATATTGTCCATTGGTATTTAATTCCAGGCAGCTAGCAACCAGTCAGTTTTAAGGTTACCATGTTTAAGTTTCCAGCATAACAGATTGTTTGAGTAATGGGCAAATACATGTACTTCTGCGGCACAGTGAATAACTTGTAGGAAAACCAATAGAGAGGTTGTATTGATGTTTGAAATAAAAGGGAAACAATATGTATGACTATTTGCTATATTACATGACATCACCAAATTATTCATACTTCTACTGGCAATAAAAATGTTGTTTAAATAACATATGAAACAAGAGAGACCAAGTTTCATCACATTTCTAAATACCAGAAGAGAGATGAAAACCTCCACACAGTTTATCACAAACACCAACATATGATTTGGATCAAAACTGTACTCTGTAGCTAAGATGTCATTCAAGACCAGCCTTCCAAACCACTACTGTGAAGTTGTGATAAGGATTTCTTTGATTTCACACGACAGTGATGAATTATTCTAAGTTAAATGTAGAGTGGTC